ACCTCGTCTGAGGACAACACAGGTGCTCTCAGCTGATCAGAGCAGAACAGGTCTAATCCCACACTGTTTTCCTAAACTAACAAGTGCTGTAGTCATTAGGTATCACAATCTGCCATTTACTTCTACATGAAACAAGTAAATCATAGTTCAATACCTCGGCCAAACTGGTAACTCACATTCTCTAGGTAGTGCCACATTCTGAAGGGACTGAAGTCAGCAACTTCAAGTCCTTATGGAGCTCCCATACCAGTATCTTTCAGTGACCTTTGACACAACCCCTTAGAGGATGTTCCCACCTCACCTATGCTGAGTGGTGCACCATGTGAGCTGCACATGTGCTCAGGCTTGTAAATTTGAAACTTCCTAACTCGAGAGTCTTCCTTTCTTTGTAAATAGTGAACATGTAGTAGTCAGAAATGCCCAAACACAGCACTGCATCTGTCTCAGCTGTGTATTTTCCAAAGGACGGTTCACATGTATAAATTCTCTGCTACTCTGAGTTCTTTAAGTTCATGAAAGTAGGATCACAGCCACACAAACACACAAAATTCCAGGCACTGAAGGAGCCCGGCGTTGGCTGGCAATGACTGCCTCAGAGCTGTTCCATATTTCTGGAAGTCAGTGGGAATGTGGAATATGGAACATTAAGAACTATCACAGGAAGAGATCTCTAAACTATGTCAAAGGCCTCCCCAGAAGCTGAATTAAAGCAACCTCAGGAACTGTACTGCATCTGATCACAGGCAGAGAGAAGAATGAATAAACTAATGTGATATGATGAAATTCAGACACAGCTATGAAAGGCAAATATAGTGCTTCCTACTAGTCTTTGCTTCATACTTCATATATTTACATTTGTCTATCTTGTTCATTAAACTACTCATACCAGCTGCTATTTACAGAGCTAGATACATTCTTTCCTCCTTAAAACAACTGCAAGTTTGGCATCTTCACTCCATTTAAGAGATTAAAAAATGAGGCTTTCAGAGTATGACTGACTTGTCTAAGTACAGTTAATAAGAGGCACAGTTATGATTCAAACCCACAGCTGTGATTCTCTAAAACCATAACCCCCATTTCCCCCCCAGCCAACGCATCTCTGGTAAAACAGATTAGGCTTTCTATTTTATAAACCAAGAGGACCGAAAGGGGGGGGGGTTTTATGCAGATCCCACAGTAAATTGGATCAGTAATAACAGTAGTAGTAACAGCTAACACTGATCTAGCTTTTAGTGTGCTCCAGGCACTAATGCTTTACATCTAATCCTCCTGATGACTACATTAGGAAGATACTACTGTTAGACCCATTTCTTATTAGAAAATTGAGGCACAAAGAGGTTAAGTAATTTGTCCAGGGTCACAAAGACAGTAAGTGGCTTTTAACAATTATACTATACACTCGGGAGAAAGAGCACTGGATTGGAATTAAAAGCCCCTGCGGCTGCCAGAGAGAAACTGCAAACTCAGAAATCTCATTCAAGTCCTCCGAGCCTGTTTCCCCCTGTATGAGTCAGCCTAGATGATTTTTAAGAGTTTTAGCTCTGTGATTCATTGTCCGGAGAGAATAACAAGGTCTAGGGACGTCAGTCTGAGACCATGCAACCTCTGCTCATTTGTGGACTCCTCCGTCACCCTAACTGGGGGATTTTACATCAACAGGCACTAGCCGCCGTTTCTGCTATTTCCTAATGAAGAAGAGGAAACTGTGAGTCTGAGACACCTGCTCTGGAAAGGTGGGTTCCTGAAGACACTCAGAGGCGAAGGTTAGGGATGCTGACCACTCACCCATTTCGGTCATATTTCTTGAACACCGGAAAAGCCTCTAAAGGGTCTCCCAGCTGTGGAGGGAAAGAAAAGAGGAGTAGCACAAACACGCTGGCAGAGTCGCGCGTCTGCCCTGACATCCGATGCTGGGCAGACCCACATTGTGAGGCTTAGCTCCTGCACCAGGTGCACCCCTCACATGGACTCTCCACCTGCCTCAGCTCTGAAATCACATGTAAGAGGGAGGCTTTGGCAAGGGGGCCAAAGAGAGTTGAGTTAGCTCATTGACAGGACAGGAGGAGACTTTACTAGCCTAGAACTAGTACTAGCCTATGGGCATACAACCTGCTCACTACTCACCTACCCAAAGGAGAGAGATCACTTGACCCTCCTGTGTACTTCTAAGAAGCCCCCACCTAATCTCACCTGGTCAAAACCCAAAACGGAAAATCACATTCCTGAGCCATATCCTTATAAACATGGACTGCTTACAGAGGGGGCTAAAAGAACAAGAAAAAATGGGATATGAAGGGGCAGGAAAGATGATCAGAATCTCTCTGGTTCAGTTTGAAATCCGGGCCCATGTGGTGCTTAGGTTCACAGCTACCCCTCCTCTAACTGCAGCCCCTTGAAACCAGGTGGGTGCATCTTCCTGGTTCAAGAATAGCCTCTGGTACTTCATGGGCAGTCAATAAATGTTTGAAGGAATGAATGAGAAAATTATACCACATTTTATGAGGGAGGTTTCCTCCCCAAAATGCAAAATCCTGACAAAAATATCTCCAGACCCTCTACTACTGGTAAGGAGACCCACAGAGAGGAGCAGCCACTTCCATTTGAATCCACATTTCCCTGCACATGGGGCCCAATCGCTGGCCCACCTGGAAACTCGCCCAGGCTCATCTTGGCTCATTTAACACAATTCTGCCACATGGTGGCGCCAAAAGAAGTAAAATTAAAAACCAAGTTGAAGTCACCAGAGGGAGGGATTGGGAAGAAGGGAGTCACCCTGTTGGCTGCGTCCACTTTGGCACAGACGGCATCCATGGCTGCTCGCTCCTCCAACCTCTTCTGCTTCTTCTCCTTTGCTTTGCTTGACTTCCTCTGCAACAGAGAAAAGCAAAGTTGGCTTAAAGGGCTGTGGTCAACCAAAGGCTTGACTTTCCCTTTGAGAAACGGAAGGGTCTGTCCCTGCATCCACAGACCTGGCCTCAGCAGCAGGAACTTTCAATCCTGGCTGCCATACACTTGTTGGGCTGCAAAAGACCCAAGAGTGTTCTAGTCGTGAGACTTTGAGAGCATCACTAGACTTAGCTTCCTTGTCAGGAAGAGTACTGACTCGTGGGACTGTTGGGTCACTGTGAGAGCACGAGACAATACTCCACACTCCAGGCAGATGCCTAAGAATCATTCACTTACCCATTCCCTCCTAAGAAGGGAACAACTCATTTCAGATAGATTCAGGGCAGGTTTCAGGGAAGAGATGGCATCTGAGGTAGCTGTTCCTATGTGTAAGTATTCAAAGCCTTTTCAGTCTCTTCCAGCTTCAGGAGACAAAGCTCTGGTCTGGGGCAGCCCCTCTGGGAGCTGGGACCCTTTTTCAACTAGGGCGAAGGCACTCTGGTTAAGGGGACAGAGCCATTCCCCAGAAGTGCGGCTCAACCAAGGCCAATGAGTGGCAGGCACACTGGGCACCTAGTAGCAACAGGGCAGAGTGAAGGGCCCCAAGGCGTTCACCTGGGGACAGAGACATGCTGACATGTGGTCAACAAGGCCAAATTGCAGCCACACAGGCAGCAGGGAGGGGCAAAGGCAGGCTGTCCTTGCAGAGAGTGGCAACAGTAAACCACACACAACTGCAGCTAGAGTAGATCCCATTCTGAGGCTCATGTGGGGTTCTCTCAGGCCTAAATGGACCCTCTTGTCCTGTAAAAAGCTGCTAACACAGGGAAAGAGCCCAGCTCTGGAGTCTGACAGATCTTATCCAAAGCTTCTTTCTGCTCTTCAGTCCCTGTGGTCTTCAGGCAAAACACAGCCCATTTCCTCATCTAATGAGTGGGGCCCTTAATACCTACCTGGAGGTGTTAAGCCCATGAGGGTTAACATAGCACATGCTCAATAAATGACAGTTCTCATCCTCACACCCAAGAACCAGAGCAGCACACACATCTGCAGGTGCTCACCCACCCAGCTGAGTCCAGAGGCACCCCAAAGGCACTGGTAAGATGGCTGAGCTCATCAGAGAGAGGTTCTACTACCTCCAGTCACACCTTAGTGGACACTGATTGGTCCCAGGAAAAGGCAAGTTGAAAAAACAGCTGCTGGGAACGTTTCTCAGAATAAATTCTACCCTCGGTTCCCCCAGGAATGACATTGCTTGACTCCTACTTCAAGAAACCAGGAGGCAAGAGTTCAGATACCAGGAACTCACAGGGATTGCTCTTCTAGGTATAAACTCGTCCAACACCAGCTATTTGTTATCTGTAGGCTGAGCACCATGCTGGAAGCCAGGCTAGATCCCAGTTCTTACTTCTCAGAGGAAGGAACAAACAAGAAAACAAACTGTCTTCACAATGCTGGGATTTGGACACAGAACTAGCCTGTCTACTACACAGGTTTTAGATCATCCATCTTTTGCTTGGGTTTCCAGACAATGCTGAGATGCACTCAGCTTGCAAAGTGCTTTCACAATTATCTGGTTCACCTCCCAGGGCAAAAAATATGACCTCCCTTACACATGAGGAAACCAAGGCTCAAAGGGCTGGTGTGACTCATTCGGCGTTCCCCAGAGAGTAAATGGCAGAGGGAAGACTCAATCCCAAGGGCTGGGCTGCAGAGCCAGTGTTTGTTCCACCAGCCCTGCTATCTCCCACTGGGAGAGCCTACGTCAGTGCCAAAGATCTTCTCAGTCCGGCCAAGGTTAAGGTCAAGATGAGACCTCAAAAGCCCCCAAGGCAGCTATTCAGCAATTCATTTCTCATTACTCTTCTGGCTTGGTAATGGCTGGTATGACATGCCCACACCGTGCCACCCTCAAGCCCCATCTCCATACTGAGGTAGGAGCAGAAAAACCTAAGACAGGTCTCCAGGACTGTGTGATAGAGCAGAAAGAACATGAGCTTTGGCATCACTCAGGCCAGGCCAATATTCCCCTTGTCACCCCCTGCATGACTTGAGAAAGCAGCTCCATCTCCAGAAAAATGGGAATGCAATGTCGGCCTCACAGAACAGTTGTAAGGACAGTCAGAAGTCAGCACACCTTCACAGCAGAAGCAAGCTCCCTTCCTCCAACCAGCATGCTAGCTCTCTCTTAACAAGATACAGAGCTGAAGGATCAAAGGCGCTGGAAGGAAAGCTTGACTCCGGGGACCCAGAGAGCACTGAAACATGGGTTCCCTCCATAGGATCTCATTTCTAAGCACATGAAGTAAGTAATTCCTAAGCACAAGCAGCAGGAGGGCCAACCCCAGGCCTCCAGATTTATAGGCTCATTCATGGAGGGGAAGAGGCGAGCCAGGGAATCCTTGGAGTGAGGCTTGGGGCTGCCATGACCCCAGACTGCAGATAATGAAAGAGCCCCTTCAGCACTTTGCTGCCTGCACACAGGGTATGAGGCAGGCTGCAGCAGGCTGGGCCAGACAGGCAGGAGTTCCCCCTCAAACCTAGCACACCCTAGGAAAAGTGGACTCCTACTGTTCCAATTAGCTTTGCCCTACGTAGTGGAGGTAAGACTATCCTGCAGGGACACAGAAAAATTCTCCTAATTAAAATAGGAAATAAGCACAGTGAACAGTAAAGCTCATTGTGGTTAAGTGTCTTTCCCAAAGGAGCTTTATATAATAAAGAGTGTGGGATTTTGAGTCAGGAGACCTGGATTTGATTCTCAGCTCTTCTCTTTGGTAGCTGTGCAACTTTGGACAAATTATTTAATCTCTTTTTCAGCAAGGTTTCTCTGAACCTCAATTTCCTCATCCATAAAATGGGGCTAACAAGGACTCACTAGTGTCAGACACTCTGCTTGTGCTTTAATAAAGATAATTTATTTTAATCTTCACAATATCTCAGCACGGTATGTGTGCCCACTTCTCTAATGAGAAAACTGAGACACAGAGAGGTTAGATAACTTTCAGGGTCACAGAGTTCTCAAAGAGGCCCTCCTATTATCACTGCCCTCCACCCCCACCAGACCATACACTCCATGAGGTCGAGGTCACATCTGCTTTATTTGCCAATTTACACCCAGAGCTCGGCAAACAGCAGATACTCAATTCATACCTGACAAATCATCCAAGACTGAATCCAGGTCTGAACCCTAGAGTCCATGCTCCTTCCACTACTATACCAATTACATTTATATGACACATTAGGAAGTGTGACGTGTTTTCACATGCAGTCATAAAACCCCTCCCCTTGCTATTCCTATGAAAATAGTATCTCCACATTCAGTTCTCTGATGTGGAGAAGTGTAAAGAAACAAAAAACACCCAGACGGGGGCAGGAGGCACCTTTCAGAAAAGGAATTTGGCATCTCCTAGATTTTCAGTGTTAATGCCTGTATCCCACAAAGTATCCAAGATCCGAAAAGAACCTCTGCTTTGGGCAAAGGGAGATACCTAAATTCTAATTCCTAAAAGAAATGTGTGGCAGCAAGGGCTAAAAGAACTTTGAAGAAAATGGTGCTCTATCTGATGCCACTCTCTCTTAGCCTGAGGTCAGGCTGCCAAATGGAGCATGGCCCTCTGCTCAAAGGTGACCACTATGATGACCATCCTGACACTGAAGTGGGGTGTCCACGGCCCCCACCTATGAGGAATGAGGATAATTAGAAGTTGCAGCTGTTTCAGAGAGGAAAATCTAAGTCTGTCTTTTACAGTGAGTTTTAGGCCAGACCAGACTAGGTAGGGGCCGTTCTGAGAAACACATTTGTAAAGTATGAGTGATGAGACGGGGCCCTAAAGGAAGCAACGATCACAGTATCTCTGAGGCTTACTACTTCAGCTCAGCCAAGGAGGAAGTGCTGACCCAGAATGGAATGTTATGCTTCTTGTTTTCTGTTCAGTCTACAGTGGCTGATGCTGTTGTAGATACTTAACGAGTGATACTGGGCACACAGGTTTCATTTCCTTTCAACAAAAGCTGGGTCTGGGACCTTTCACCTAAGTCTAGGTTAACTATGCCGAAAGTCTCTAGGCTTGATTTTCTACATATGAAATACATAGTAACCAAAACCATCCTTCTTGAAACATGATGAATGGGTTTTGACATGGACTACATAAAGTGCTTTGACAAGGGTTAGACAACTATTTTTGTGTAACAAGTTGATTTGTTCAGTCAATAACTACTTGAATGAGAAAAAAAAATCTAGGTTAGTAACAGTAGGGACAAACTCAATGGGTTAAAGTAAAAATAGTACAAATCTATTCTAGATAAACAAAATAAAGACTGAGAATGCAGGCAAAAATAACAGCCACTACTTAAGAGGCATCTATTTGGCTATTTACATCCACTATCTCATTTAATCCTTACATCTACCCTAAGGGGGGGGTACCATCATCCTTATCACATAAATGAGGAAATTCACATTCACAAAAGCCATGTCACTGGCACAGTATCATGCTGCTAGGCAGTGAATGGGGCTGGAACTGAGGTAGCTCTGGCTCCAAAGTCAGGGCTCCCTAAAGGTGGGGGAAATTCCATGGAAAAATTAATAATATACACAGGAAGGGCCAGTTACATTTTTAGGAGAGTGACTTATGCTATTCTACTTGGGACTTAGGAAAGTGAACCCACAGAAGCATGTGCATAACTTCTGGCAACCCTCTATCAGCACGTGCCAGAGAAGGGCATAAAATGCACCTCCAGGCGGCCTTGCACAGAACAGGTGGTGACTATCCGTCGGCAGTTGCCCTCACCAGCCCCCTGCTCACCTTCTTCACAGCTTCCCCCTGCAAAGCCACCTGCAGTACTGACTGCTCACAACTCAGGGAATAATAAGCCCCACCTCGCTGCGCCTAGGAGGCCGGAGAGGCAGGCCTCTGTTGAAAGGAAGAAACTGTTTTAGAGGCAGGAGGAACCTGCTGGAGAGGTTTCGAAAGAGAGGAAGGGAACCGGCTTTATTGAGAGTCCGAGTAGCGGGAAGCGCAGCACAGGGGGTCGGGAGACCGGAGTCGGGGTGTGGCCCCCAGTCACTGTCTGTGTGACCTTGGCTGGGTGCCTTCTTTACTCGGCCTCAGTTGCCTCCAGGCCAGGGCTGACCTAAGATGTGGGAAACCGCAAAGCCGGTGACAACCAGGTGACAGTGACCCCTGGGGTCGGGGGGATACCCCAAGATGCGCGCGGGGGCAGGGGGAGGCCAAGAAGATCACAGGTCAGCTAG